ATCTGACGGCCAAATTACCCCCGTCAGATACCGTTACCTCAGTGTTTAACAGGGGAAACGCATCCTGATGGCCAAATAACACCCGTCAGATACCGTTCCCCTTGTGTTAAACAGGTGTATATGAATGGGGCTATCACTTTAAAGTAGTAGCACCATCACTTGGACCTGAATATTTTTTCATAGAAACATTGCAGTTTTTTTTACCTTTAATGTCCCCTAATTTAACATTATGTTTATTCTCCCAGGTCTATTAGAAATGAATGATCACACCTTTTACCAGAACTGTAACATTTTTTAATAAGAAATAACACTGAACAAATGCTCAAGTTGTGGCAAAGTTTCCACATCTCCTCTTCCCTCAACAGGCTTCACAAATGAAAGCTGCTGATGTGTCTGAACATCCAGAGCACACATGGTGAAACCACCTCCCACAAACATCACAGGATATCTGCAGAACAAAAAGAGTTAGATTTAATGTACTATATCATTTTAATTTATTTTAATGTTTCATCTAATATTAAAAAATATTATTGCCTAAGAGTGTAAAGCATTGATCTTAGGATCTATATGCAAGATGAACAGTGTTTAACAATGTTTACTGCCAGTGTGTCAATAGTATTAAGGGAGACAGATTCATAATGCACCCAAAATTCTTTTAAAAAGATTATTAAGTATCATTCTTAAATTGTTATTTTGCCCCTACCCTGTAGGATACTTTTTTCTGCACTTTCGTCAGGATTGCTATTATCATTCCTAAATATGAAAATTATGATAATGGTCATGTAATAAAAGGTACTGTAAAGTCAGTTAATCATCAGTTTACTTCCTTTAGTAAGTTGACTGATGCAAGGCCTCATCCAGAAAGATGTGTAGCTTGTAAGAGCTCCTTTGTGGCTCTTTGTGAGAAAGTCCCAGTCACAGCAATTTACTTGTGTGTTTACTGTTTTCTTCAAGCCATATCGGGAGATTATGTACCCTGACAACATCAGAGTCTATGTAAGCGCTTACTACAATACACTTTCAGACCCTGCCCATCCGTAATGCTTCGTCAAAGGCAAACATTTTTCTGTGCCAAAGCAAAAAATATAATTGGGGCCCAACAAATCCAAAAATATTTATTAATCATAAGCCTTATGTCCATTAACATAAAATATATCTAGCTATCTGTCATCTTCACACAAACACAAAAATTGATTATTGGATTTTGGGGGTTCTTCTTTCACTCTGGACATAAGGTCATCTCCCAAAGCATCAATCCCAACAAATGTCCTCATGTCGAAGTACAGTCACATATGCCTGCTTCAAATGCCAAAGAAATACTTTTTAACTCCTTAGCTTGCACAGTGTGGTCAAGGAGCTACACAAAGCACTTTCCTTGCACCTCTGAATTTTATTTAAACTATATGATTTTCATTTTATTATAATTGTAGCAGCGATAGTATTACCTATTAACTTTTTTGTATTTCATGATGTCATCATAAGTATAAAACATTTCTCTTAAGGTGCAAACATGAACACTGTATTGAGAGATAAGATTATACCCAAATGATGCTCTTTGTGTCGTTTGGATCGTCCACATCTTCCTCGTCCACATTTTCCTGTCCACAGATGCAGCAGATGTCTGTCAAGTCATCTGCAAGAATGAAAATGGTTATTACTAATTGTCCAGTTCATTAACTTTGGTACATACCCTAAAAACACAGATTAAACACACTTTACAGAGCTAAACATAACTTTAACTGATGTAGTTATTATCTTTTAAGAGAGCTACTTTTGCTACTCACCTGATGCCTCCAGGACAGTTTCTGCAATCTGCCAACGTAGTGCATCCACATCACTACGTCCAGCAGGAAAAACAAGTGGTTGGCCCGTCAGTATGTTCTCTACAAACTGAAAGACAAATATTAAACACATATATCCCAACATGCATCTCTACTGAATATAGGAGTACATTTTTCCATACCTTTATGGCAAACACGCCGCAAGAGCTGGAGTCAGGTTGTAGGGGATGTGGAAGTGTGTTGCACTCCCACCTAGAAACATTCATGCCCTGTTTCCTCAGAAGAGCTCTAAAAAAGAAGAAGGTATTAGCAATTATGTCATTGAAACATGCCTGTCACACAAAGGCCTGACTGCTGCTAAATTCAAGCAGAAGGCCATGCTTCCTTTGACAAAAAAACCTTCCCAAAAAATCATTTTACATCATACTGTACATATTTAGTTGTGTTTATGATTTGACCAATTTGTAACGTAATTTGGGTTCATGGCTCATTTTGGAGGATCTGTGCCATATAAAAAAAAGATAATTTAAATTAATAGAATTATCCTGGCATCAATTTTAATTGAGCCAACTCCAACACGTATGAAGCAGGAAAAGGAGAAAGAACCGATTCTGCAAAGAAGGGTACACATTTTTTTTCAAGGACAATTATGTGCCATTTATGATTTTGATATTTGCAATTAAAAATCTTCCCTTTTTATAGACAAAAATGGCTGTAAATCACAGCAATTACAATGTGATACGTTATACCACAGACAGCCAGCATCCACACCTGATAAGGCATATATTGTCTTATAAAATATTGACAAATAAACTCTTCTAGGTTTGTCTGATGTAGAGTAGATGTAGAGGTAATGATAGTATCAAAAAACTATCAAAATTATTTAACTATCAACAACCAAAAAATCCTCCAGCTTTGGTATGAAAAAAAAAAATAATTAAAAAACTGACACATACCTTGATATGTCTTTACATGTCTTCAGCTTCAGACTACTTGCCCCAAGTGAGTCCAGCAGAAGAGATTTGCCCTGTTTTGGATATATAATCTGGAAAGACAACAACAGATATGATTTGTTTACAAACTGTCTGCCTTGTATTGCTGTAAAGGCATATGAATGAAAGATACTTGAATAGAAAAATTCAACACCTGTGATGGACTTTTTAAAACTTTGATTAAAGCAAATACTTTGGAGATGAAATGCAAACACTTACAACAGCAAACCAGTGATGGTTGTCATTAACTATACCATATATAGTCCCGTAGTTTGTTGGATCCCACTGAAAGAATTGAAAGACAGTGATGTCAGCATCATGAATACTTTTTTCGTTAAATGGCAAACAGTTTAGACAACTAACCTTGAAACGTGGAAATTTCATTTTCCACACAGCTGACATGCCAAATGAATCTATGAACAGCACTTTATCGTCTGAGGATGTGTTGTGCTTTCTCTCCAAATGTTTCAGGTATGCATTGATGACCTGAAAAGATGGATCTTTGCTTGTTAACTTGCACAATCATATATTTGTAATGCCCATCCAGTGCAGCAACATTTCTAAATTGTTGACAAAAACACTATGCGGTTTACCTCGCTCTCGAGTTCCCTTCCTGGTGCTGTTCGGAAAATGTCTGCATAGAAAAGTTTGTAAGGCCCAATTTTAGAAAGAATGATAGCTGATGTTGTACCATCCCAGGCTTTCCGGATATCTAAAATAAAACAGGAAAGAATTTGAGTTTTTGGATGTGAAAATCTTTTAGTACACATGTTCATTATATTTACAAAGAAAAGTTTCCAAAACATACACTTTTCTACTTTTGTAGAGCCTGAAAATGGTGGCACAGCAGGATGTCTTGCAGCTTCAACACCTTGAAGGGTGGAGGAATGGTCCTCAGCAGGTGGAGGGCTGGATGTTGTCTCTTCAGCAGGTGGAGGGCTGGATGTTGTCTCTTCAGAGGTGGAGGCTGTTGTTTCAGAGTGGGCGGATGTTGTCTTTCAACAGGTGGGGGCTGGATGTTGTCTCTTCAGGAGGTGGAGGGCTGGATGTTGTCTCTTCAGGAGGTGGAGGGCTGGATGTTGTCTCTTCAGAGTGGAGGGCTGGATGTTGTCTCTTCAGAGGTGGAGGGCTGGATGTTGTCTCTTCAGGAGGTGGAGGGCTGGATGTTGTCTCTTCAGGAGGTGGAGGGCTGGATGTTGTCTCTTCAACAGGTGGAGGGATGAATGTTGTCTCTTCAACAGGTGGAGGGATGGATGCAGGTTTTCCAGTTTTTAGAATCTTCTGAGGGATAATGTTTTGTTGTTCAATGAAAATCTTAAGCTGATCTGTGTTGACTTTTGGGAAAAAAGCGGTTTCGGATTGCAAATCTGCACTTTTATTTACAAGTTTGACTATGGTGTATGGTCCGGTCCAGTTTCTTTCCAATTTTCCACCCTTCCTCTGTTGGCTTCTGATGTTGAGCCGTAGAACTTTGTCCCCAACCTTGAAAGTTTGGGGTTTTTGATTTGGGGTCTTGTATTTTTTGTGAGTTTTTTCCATATTTTCCTGAACTAATTTATAAATTGCATCCCTTTTTCTTATTGACTCCACCACCGACTCCTCCCCCAGAGTGTCCTCAATTTTGCTGTCAATCTGGGGTAAAAGAAAATAAATATGCAGATTTCAGATACCTTAAGAAGGTGTCCACTCTCAAATATTAGTCTTTTCTGAAGTGAAAACATAACTACCACACAAATATTTTCAGAAACTTTATTATAAACAGGTGGATGAACTTGGAACATAAGTGTGAATTATCAGAAATTTGGTTTACCAAAATTTTAATTATAATAGCAGTTTTCTTGTCCATTAGTGATGTAATGTTTTACATTATGATGAAATACCACCAGAGATACTGCAGTGTTCATTTTAAATTTCTAAAAATTTTGATGAAGAGTCAAGAATAAACGTGACCTAAAATAATGTCTTAACATCTACAGGGCTCTTCATGTAGAATGTAATCAAGACAGATGAAATCATGTCTCACCAGGATGTTCTCTGGAACCTCACATGGCAGACGAGCCTGTCTTCCAAAGAGGAGGAAGTATGGTGAGAACTTGGTAGTTGACTGTTTTTTGGTTCTGATCCCAAACATCACACGATCCAAGTACGTGTCCCAAGTTTCTGGTCGCTCACTCACAAGTTTGCACAGTGCTCTGAAAAGCAAGATTTTATCACGTTCTTGCTAAATTTACTGAAAGAAGCTACCAGCCACTATACCAATGTGGACAAATTTACTAAGCCAGTGCTCGGAGTATTCAACCTAAAGAAATTGATAACAAATTCCGTAATCATCACAAAAAGGGGAGGGGGCACACAAAAGGGATTCCACTACAGCTGGCCATTAACTTCAGGGGTGCACAAGATCACACCATGATAAGATGAAAATTTGCAACAGCACAGCAAATAATGGCATCAACACTTGCTGGAGAGGAACCTATGGGAAGCCAATCTATGTTTCTGTACATGATCGATGACATCTTTAGGTCACTCCCAGCACACAGGCTGATTATTACCACATTGTCAAAGAGGACAAAGTTTGTACTGGCATAATGTTCAGACAGAATGTTGAAATGCCTGCACTGAACTTAAAAAAACGCAAATCTTTGAATAATTACATATAATTCTGAAATTGTAATTACCTTTGAATCGTCCCATTGTGCTTTTCTACCAGCCCATTGGTTTGCGGATGATAGGGAGCACAAAGGCTGCGCTCAATGTTCAGCATTTTGCACAGCTCCTTGTTCAACTGTTGGTCAAAAACGAATCATTGCTTTAACAGATAAACATCAACAAGAAAAAAATGTGATCACTAAATGACAAACCAAACTGTTTTATACAGCATCACACTCCAGTCCATAACACTCAAAAGTATTTAAAAACACACCTCATTCACAAATTCTTTGCCCTGGTCAGTCAGGATTCGCTTTGGGGCCCCAAAGCGATAAAAAAACTTTAAAATACACTGGGCAACATCTGCTGCTGTTTTGGACGGCAGAGGATAGGCTTCGGACCATTTAGTAAAATAGTCAATCATGACTGCAATATACTCATTCCCAGCCTCTGTTTTCACAACCTTGCCTATAAGGTCCATCCCAACCAATTCAAATGGTTGACTCACCTGAAAAAGGAAAAGAAAATAGAGAAAAGCACTTTTGACCAGGAATAATAAAATATCCTTCATGTGGTGTTTTGAAATGTGTGTCACTTACTTCAATTGGGATGGGTTTTGTCTCCTGCTTAATTGTCAGTGCACTTTTCTGGCATTCCACACATTGACTGACCTAAAGAACCACATTTTTTTCAATAAAATGTCACAAAGCTGTTGTAGATGTATGACTGGAAAGCGCTATATAAGTGCAAGCCATTCATCATTTACCCTGTCAAATATTATACTATAATAATGTACAAGATACCATGGTTTCTGTTTGTGAGCTTTGATTTATAAGAAATACCTACCCACTTGTCGATGTCTTTGGACATGCCTGGCCAGTAAAACCGTCTGCTTATAGCATCTCTGGTTTTAACTATGCCCACAGTGGGCACCATAAGCACTGGCATGAAACTCTCTGAAGATTTGTTGTGCTTCCTCTTTTGCAGTCACAACCTTTCTCTTTGATTGACTGCTTCCCTTGCAGTAATACAATACTTCATCTGTCAAAATATCACAAGTTGATGATAAAAATGAAAACAAAGCATAGGCTACACATTGCTTCATCAACTTAAAAAAAAAAAAAAAAGAACTTTAATATTCCAGTATGAATGTATGTGAATGGGACTCGTCCTGAAGTGGTTAGTGTTGTGCCGATAAGTAGCCAGAGTAATTATTCTAAACATCCTCAAATATGCTAATAATATTTACTTGGATGCAGTTGCTATATACAGAAAGACAGAACTGATATAAATGTCGTGTTGGGTCATAATTTTCTAACCCACATTGGGCCGACAGATTTTTAAAGTCATTAATTTCTTTACTGTTCAGTGCGACAGGTTTAATTACCTTTAAGTAGCCTAATTATTCAATTGGGTATATCATCGGGGCTAAGTAAGGTTGCTGATAATTCCAGTGTAGTCCAAATTTTAAAAAAAAGTAAATACGGCTATGCAATAGGTACGACACTGTTAGTATTAGATAGCAATATGGCCTACGTGCAGGACTCTACAAGGACTCTACAAGGACTCCATGTTATCCAGGGCTGGACTGGGACAAAAAAACGGCCCGGGCATTTTTTCCTTTTTAGCGGCCCATGCAACTCAAAAGGTTCAAGGAGCCATATTTGACAAAAAAACTAAAAACAACATCTGTCTGGAGCCGCAAAAAAAAAAAAAAACAGCATTGTATAAGGCTCATATGAAGGTAACAGGGGCTGAAGCTGTATTAGCTACATTAGCTACATTAGCTACCTTAGCTACATTAGCTATATTAGCTATATTAGCCTAATATCTAAATGACAAAGTAAAGGCTGGTGCGTCATTCTCCTGGAGAGAATGACGCACCACGTGACAACTCTGCTTTAACTTGAACCTTCATGCAATTGTACAAATACAGTAAATAAATCTGCTTTTTGGCTCCGAGTTCACCTGCATCACTGTCTGTTCATATCCATCACGTCACAGGCTGAAGTTTGCCAGAGCTGAATGTCCTTAATGGCCTTTTCTTTCACCGTCTTTGAGAAGGTTTTTGAAGTCTGAAAATAGGTGCTCTGGCTTTATGATGAATGAATCTTTCAGTGAACAGTGTTTAAAGCTTCATTGTTCCTCGTGTTGCAACAAAACTTTTCATTACATCGCAAACATGAAGCAGTCTTTCCTCATTGACTGAAAGAAAATGTTCATTCTCATTCTTAGTCCAGTCTTATCGACTCTCTCTCTTTATCTTTGGGATCCATGCGCACACACAGTCTAGGGGCACTAAAGGTTGGCTGGTTTATACAGTATGTGGAAGCAAATACTGTAGAGGATCATGATGTCTGCAGTTTCAACAATAAAATAAAGTACAATAGTCTACATTAAACAGAGTAATAAACATGTCTCAGAGTGAGGGAGGTGGGCACAGACAATACTATTGTTTGTTACAGGGATGAGAATTGGTAACATTTCTGAAATGCATATTGTCAGCCATTGGCTGGCTCTAATCTGTTCACAAAATTTTACTTTTGGGCTCAAACATGAACTTTTAATGCAATGGAAAATTTAGGTACCCGAGCTTTAATTTTCGAGGAGAGGGGAGACGCGGACTGTTTTCTGCAGCGGTGTATTTATTGGGTGCACAAATTACGAAAAGACATGCATGGTCCTGTGCGCGTTTATGGTCTTGGGTACATGGTCACGTTGCGGCTACGCGCTCACCGTGTTGTGTTGTGAGCGGCTCCCGGTGAGCGGTTCCCGCGTCCAGCTCAGAGCAGCTGGATGCGGGAACACTGCGGCCGCTGAGGTGGTGGAATCCCGTTCGAGTACATGCAGCAGGTGCCCCGCGGACACGCACGCTCCCCTCAAACATTTCTCAACGGATTTACACTTTTCACAAACATGTTTTTTGTATGAGGCAGACAGACCGGCCCAAATATGGGCATCGGCCCTTCGGGCATTGCCCGGTACGCCCGATGGCCAGTCCAGCGTGGTTATGACTATGATTTGACTGTCTCTTTGTGACACGTACGTCTTCCGATGTGTGACGTGACAATGACTATATAAACTGTGTACTGCCTTTATTCTGTCTGGGAGAAGGAAACAAAGTAAACCATAGGAACTTGAGAGAAACTTGAATAAACTTCCAGAGTTTGGCGCACCACGATCCGTCTCTGTCTGCTTCATTCCTGACAACACAATTCTACATACCCGAAATAACTTATCGCTATATAAATTAGGTAAGGGAAAGACTAGAGGCCTTTGACCAACGGTAAATTTTAAGAAAAAAATATACTCACCATCAACTGCAAAGTCCGCTGCCCGCCGCCTTATAGAATATTTTTGACTCTTAGTAGAGCCTTCGGGGTAGCTTCCAATGGATAGATACTGGACAATATTGTTATATGTTGACGGGTCCATTTCTTAATAGCTATATAATACCTCGATATCAACGTCTATGTAGGGGTCATGGGCCACGGTGTGAATTAATGTGGTGCATGCGCACATTCAACTCCCCCCGCGGGCACTTTGACGTCAATTTGACATAAAAAGTAGTCAAGATTTTGACCACCATGTATGACATGCATGAATATACATAATTTCATTATATTTTGCAATTATGTCCTTGTGGTTGTAAAGAGGCCCAACAAAAGTATCAATCTGACATGTTTTTTCTGGTCCCTATGTCTCAGGTCAATATCATTGACATTAAGGCAAGGCAAGGCAAGTTTATTTGTATAGCACAATTCATGCTACAAAACAATTCAAAGTGCTTTACATAAAACATTAAAAGCATTATAGTGGGGTGCAGAAGAAGCATGTGTGTATTTAAAAAGTCAACATTGATTTGATGTCAGGAAATAAGACGTCAAATTGATGTGAAATTTATGTCAGAACAACGTCTGTTCAAATGTCTGAAAAGTTATTTGTATTGATCATTGTAAATTGATGCTACTCATTTTCAAGATATGAAAGACCTGCCTCTGAATGGCCTATGTTTTTTACATGTGTGTATTTAAAAAGCATGTTTACATTTACAGTTTTTTTCAATCGCTTTGACCCTTGTAATACTACAGTGGTGCTATTTTTCAAAACTTTGGATACATTTTTCCAAACAGTAACAACTTCGAACACAAGTTATCTAGCTTTCAAAACAGCGAATTTTGTGTTCTTATCTTTTGAGAAACCCTACAAGCACAGACCATCAGTAAGAAATGCTTTGTTAAATTGCACAAAACATGCCACAAGTTTAAAAATTAGCATGTTCTTTCAACCATTAAATAATGAGCTCATAATTCTAAATACATCTTTCATTATGGTACAAACCTAATCTTTCTCTAAAACATTTAAATATATAGTGAGAAAAAACTGGAAAGAAGACAAAATAGAACTTTGCATTGAAAGTGATTTTGAGGTACTGTATTCACAACACAAACTTTATTACTGTAAGCATGTAACTGAAAATGTCATGCATTCTAAAGTGCATATACATGTACATGTAAAACAAAAAGATTAGGCTATATACACACAGTTGATACTGCTTTACGTATACTGTAATTTACATGATAGTCCAACTGACTCACCAATCTACTTTACAGTTACTGTAAGTAGGGGGCATTTGTTTGCACAAGCTGTCATACTCTAGGTTTAGGCCAAGGCCTACTGTCTCCACCATAAGTAACCTAAAGTAAACACACAATGCACAATCAACAACATCTAAATACAGCACAAGTTGAGTCAAGCTGACTTGACAATCGACAGTAATCACATCCAGGTAATTTCAGAAAACATCTGTAACGAGCTTTACACATTAGATGCTGGCCGACGTTGTCACTTTGAAAGAAAAGGAATGACAAGCCTCAGTGGCTTTGCGAATGTGGCAGGATGAAGTAGAGAGCCCGGGCGGGATTTGAACACTAGACTCCTAAGTGAAAGTCATGTGCGCAAACCAGTCAACCAAAGGCATAGACAGTGCCTTGCAAAAGTATTCGGCCCCCTTGAACTTTTCAACCTTTTGCCACATTTCAGGCTTCAAACATAAAGATATAAAACTGTAATTTTTTGTGAAGAATCAACAACAAGTGGGACACAATCATGAAGTGAAACGAAATTTATTGGATATTTCAAACTTTTTTAACAAATAAAAAACTGAAAAATTGGGCGTGCAAAATTATTCAGCCACCTTAAGTTAATACTTTGTAGCGCCACCTTTTGCTGCGATTACTGCTGTAAGTCGCTTGGGGTATGTCTTTATCAGTTTTTCACATTGAGAGACTGAAATATTTGCACATTCCTCCTTGCAAAACAGCTCGAGCTCAGTGACGTTGGATGGAAAGCGTTTGTGAGCAGCAGTTTTCAGTTGTTTCCACAGATTCTCGATCGGATTCAGGTCTGGACTTTGACTTGGCCATTCTATTACCTGGATATGTTTATTTGTGAACCACTTCATTGTATATTTTGCTTTATGTTTTGGATCATTGTCTTGTTGGAAGACGAATCTCCGTCCCAGTCTCAGGTCTTTTGCAGACTCCAACAGGTTTTCTTCCAGAATGGTCCTGTATTTGGCTCCATCCATCTTCCCATCAATTTTAGCCATCTTCCCTGTCCCTGCTGAAGAAAAACAGGCCCGAACCATGATGCTGCCACCACCATGTTTGACAGTGGGGATGGTGTGTTCAGGGTGATGAGCTGTGTTGCGTTTACGCCAAACAGATCGTTTTGCATTGTTGCCAAAAAGTTTGATTTTGGTTTCGTCCGACCAGAGCACCTTCTTCCACATGTTTGGTGTGTCTCCCAGGTGGCTTGTTGCAAACTTTAACAACACTTTTTATGGATATCTTTAAGAAATGGCTTTC